CACTGGAGATGGTACAACAATAAACAGAGGTGACCTAGGGCTGTGCCAGGTCAAGTTCCCTATGCCTGGAGTCCATCCTGTCACATGATGCTATCACCAATCCCTATAGTTGAATGCCTTACACTATACTGGAATAAAGAATGCAACATATTCTATGGAATTTTCAGATAGTGGGCTGCAGAGACAAGGCCTAGATGCAATTTGGAAAACAGTACAGTCTCTTGGGTTTATTTTGAGTTTTCTCTCCACCCCAGGCAGAAATGCTACCTGCCTGGTATGTATTCTCAATGGCATCTTTGCCTTTCCAGCTGGGCTCTGCACCCCTAGCGGATCTGCAGGGCTGAGTCCTCCAAAGGGACAGCAAGATAGAGAATGTCAAGGGGGCAGGGGCCAGCAGAGGGCCCATTTAGGACAGGGAACGCAAGAACAAACATGAGGTAGCAGTGAGAAGACACAGTGATCAGACACTTTGGACATGGGGCCAGGATCAGACCACAGGATTCAGGAGCAAAGCCACAGGCCTAGAAGGAAGGGCTCAGAGGGACTGGACAGTAAACAGCGAGCACTCAAGAAGGGAAGGAAATAGCAGATGCATTTCTGTGATTATAGCAGATGACATGCCCAGCTCTTTCTCACTGATCTCCTCACCGATCCATCCATATGTGTCACCCATCCATCCAGGCATGCATGCGATTCATCTGCCCCTCCAATCATCCAACCAGCCATGAAGGCCCTCCATCCATTGATGCACACTATTCCTATGGCCATCCACCCTTTCTCCCATCCATGCATTAATGCCACCGATCCATCCATCATTCTTGCATATCATCTGTCTACCCACCCACCCGTGTCATCTGTCTACCTACTCATTCATTCATGTTCCCAGTCATGCATCCATGCACTAACCTGCTCGTTCAATAGCCACCAGCACCTCCTAAGTTCTGACCACCATGTCACACACTGCAAATGCACTTGTGACAAAGAACAGCTACACGGTGGTGTCCACATTCTATCAGCACAGACTGGCCTGCGCTTTCCTGATAATATCACATCCTCCCAAGACTATGTGGTCATTGAGTTTCTGTTGGTGCCCACTTTCTGGCCAGAATCTTGGGATTATCTCTGGTCCTGCACCCACAGTTCCGCTGTGCTCTGGGGAAAATGTGGCCTTCTTGCCCAATCCAGGAAGCCCTGCATCCCTGCTTTTCATTCGGTGAAGTATGAACATTTCTCTGAGCTGGACCCTAGACTGAGACCCCTGGAGGTTGCAGGGGCAGGTCTAGATGTGGCACTCCTAGCTACATGACCACGGCAGGGCTGCATGAGTGTGTCACCAAAAGTAACTGAGTGTAAGCCCACACACGGATGGCTTCCTAGGGTCCTCTTTCCTGAGAAGGAGGGTGTGGATGCCTTCTGATCTAGGTCAGGATCTTTCACCATCTCCAGGTTCTGAGAGGAATCTGGCCTAGAATTGGGATGAAGTGGGAGTACTCACTGACAGAAGCAAAAAAACAAAAACAAAAAAAAAAACAAAAACAAAAAACCAGTCTCAGAATACATCAAAGGCCAGCCTCCCTGAGCCCTGGAGGCTGAGTTCCACATACCTGGTCCCACTGGGATTTGAAAACCCCAGTAATGAGCAAGGAATTCCTAGTACTTTAAACAGGCTTGAGTCTGGATGGCTGGGTAGGGTTAGCCTCCAGGGCGAACTACAAGGTCCTTTCCTCTGGGTACCATTACAGTAGATAGATAGATCCCAAACCCTGACCTCTGTGGAAAAGGAGGGGCAGATATTTCCTCCTAAGGTCCGTCTAGTGCCCCAGGGCACAGTGCCCATTCACTGGACAAGTGAGGAGTTATATTCAGGAGAGGTCACTGGCCCTGATCTCAGTAGTCTGGCTTCCTTTCCATTTCTGATAAAGCACTTGGACAAAAATAAACTAGGAAGGAACAGATTTATTTGGCTTACACTTCCAGGTAACAGCCCAGGATTAAGTTGAGGACAGAAACCTGAAGCCAGACCTATTTACTATTCCAAGAAGCATTACCTCTAACAGAGAACTCACCCACAGCTAGGAGTACAGCAGAAACCATGGAGGAGGGTGCTCGCTGCCTCTCTCACAGACAGGTACATGCCCCTGCTGGTGGTTTGCTATTGCTATTGCTGTTTGCTTGTTTTTGTTTTTTGAGAGTTTCTCTGTGTAGCCTTAGCTGTCCTGGAATTTGTGCTGTAGATCAGGCTGGTCTTGACCTCGGAGATCTGCCTGCCTCTGCCTCCTGAGTGCTGGAATTAAAGGAATGCGCCACCACCACTTGCCTCAGCTAGCTTTCTTATACAGCCCAGGACAATTTACCTATTGAATAATGCAATCCCAATCCGGGCCAGACTCTATCAATTAACAATCAAGAAGAATATGCACCACAGATGTGCCCATAGGCCAGTCCGATCTGAGTCTCTTGAGACTCCCTTCTCAGATGACTCCAGGCTGTGTCAAGTTGACGATTCAAACTAACTAGGGCATTGAGCTACAGGGATAGTCCACAAGCCCTGTGTTTATGACTACCACCTGACCCACCCCACCTGTCCCCACCACGGCAGGCAAACTCCTATCTAGGCTGTAGACAGAAAAACATTCTTCACTGCAGCAAACAGGACAGCTACTGCCTCCTTTGGACGTTCAAAGAGCTGTGCCTACCACTCCACAATACTGCTATGCCCTGGAACCCAGGTTCCTTCCATAAGATGAGGCAGGACAGTTGGGCAAGAGGCAGCTGGGGGTAAGAGGGCCAACCTCACCCCTGACCCCTAGGGGTGAAGGGGCAAAGGCAAGGACAAGGACTTCCTCCTTTAGACCAGTCCTGGTCGCTAGCCCATAAGAGTCAGAGAATAGATGCATAAAACTGTTTGCTGCTGCTGCTGCTGCTGCTGTTACTGCTTGATGCTCTGCAGCCTCCACTGCAGTAAATGGGGGGGGGGGTGCACACCAGGGTCCCAATGATCTCCTCTCCTTATTTTACATAGTATTTTCCCTACTGGCACCCAGGCTAGTTACTTCCCTCTCATTCCCATCACCCCTCCCCACCTTCTCTGAGGCCAGCAGAGGTGCTTACTGCCCTGGCTCCCTCCCTCCCACACTTGTCCCTCCTAGGATGTTGGAGGCCTGAGTATTCAACTCCCACAGATGAGAGCCTCATGGCAGGACGGTGCAGGAAAAACAGACATTTTCATTTAGCAACACGACCTCTATCCAGCTCAAATTTCATCCAATTCAAATAAAAATATTTTCTCTTTCAGTCGAGAGCTTGGCATGTAAATAAATGATCTCCAAACACACTTGGTGGGAGGAAGAGATGTCTTGAGGGGGGGAGCAGTGAACACTTGGAGTCTTTGGGGCCTAGCAGCTGACACGTCTCTTACAGGTTCTGAATGCCTCTCCAGAAATACCACACTCTTCGGGCAGGGATGTGTCTAAATATCTCTGCAATCCAGCTTAGTGGTCAAGAGAGCAGGACAGAGTAAGGTGGCTCACTGTCACTGAGTGTGGGTATACCGCCACCTACACACTGCATGACAACTGGTTCTAAGGCTGAATAAAGGGCTCTAGGAACTGATGCAAAGTCCCTGTTCCTGTGTGCCTATCCTGGAACCCAAGCTAAGCTGGCTTCAGCCCAGTCAGGTTTTCAGTCTGGATGTGGACATGCAATCAACCCAGGCTGGGCGAGAAATGCCCGCCTTCCCAAACCCGTCCATCTCTGAGACCTACAGGGAGTTGGTTTAACTCTATTCCTGGTCCTGGTCCAGAGTGCCTCTGGCTCATCATCCTTTCTTCATTGAATGCGAGAAGAAGGGAGAAGGGCTTCAAATGCCCAATGCCCAGCAAGACTACCAAGGGAGAAGGAGCTCCCTGCAGGGCAGGGGGACAAGATGGTGGGACAGGGGCTCTACTTGGCACCTGTGTCTGCTCCCCCAGCTGTGTGCAGCACAGGCTGGGGCTGAGAGGGCAGGGTGAGAGCATCACAGCCCCCTCCTAGACCTTGTGAGAACCAGGAGGAAGAGGTGCTGGTTCAGGAGAAAAGCTGAAAACCCACCCTGGGCTCTGAGAAGACCCTACCTCCATCCTGGGCTGCCTGTGACGTGCAGCAACCACATGGACTCAGACTGGAGCTAGGGTCTGGTTCCACTCTCTTAGCCAACTTCTTCGGGTAGCGATCAGATGGCAATCAGACCTAAGAGGGTGCTGTGGGTGGGAGTGTCGTGAAGAATGCAGCGACTGTGCTAAGGCACTCCCAAGTCCCTAGAACCATTGCCAACCCGGTGAAAATACAATGATGACTGGTTCATTGAGTGCTAGCCTAGCATGGATAAAAGCCCTGGGTTTGCTGGGCGGGGGTGGCACACGTCTTTAATCCCAGCACTCGGGAGG